GGATGATTGCATCTTTATGTGTTTAAAGAAAACAATAAAGAAGTCACATTGTAATGAATGCTTACTGAGTGCCAGTCACTTTATATCCATTATCTCATTTAACCCTTAGCGCATCCTTATGCCATAAGACTATAATATCTCTTTACAGGTGAAAAAAATGAGGTTTAGATCAAACAAGAACTATGGTCAGGTTGGAACCAAATTCTGCCTGACCACAAAGCCCATCCATTTTTTTATACTCTGGCCAAATCTGTGATAGAGTAAAATGGCTCCAGAATATGCTTTCCCTGTAGCTATTTTTAAATGTCTCAGTACTTGAGTGGGTGATCAGAAGGAGGACAAGAAAGCAGAATCAAATTCCCTGCAGACAAGGTTTTCAATCCAAAGGGATATGCTGTTCATTCTCTGCATGGCTTCACAGTGCACCCTGTTACTGTGCAACTCTGCTCATCTCAAGGCATATGGAAAGAGTTTTATGTTTTAAGCAATTAGACTTGACAGCATTGTTGTTTCTTTCTTATTTAATATCCTTCAGCCCTGGAGACCAGCCAGAATCTGCATTCTCTCCCCAAATTTAATTCGTATACCTCGTACATATCATTTAGTTGTCAGGAGGCAGCAACTTAATGGCATTTGTTCCCATGGCTTAGGAGCATCTGGGTTATGTCACTTTTTAGCTGACCTGCTTAGCTCAGAGGGAACAAAGTTCTTTGTCTAATGATCTTTCAGGGGCCCTTATCATTGGTGATTTTGCTTTCTGGATCCTGTGTTGTTCTGTAAATGTTGTAAGATGATAAGATTTCTAGATATTAATTTGTTTCTGCTCAAAGGAGGAAGGCACTTATAAATATGGAAGGAGCAGGAAACAAGGATATTGGAGAAACTAGCTAAGTCATAGTTAGAGTATAGCTTGCTGGTCTAAAACTCTAGGGGAAATTGAAACCAGGGCTATGGAGTGGGGGAAAAAAAATGCATCTCTACATTTTTTTTATGTAATTTCAATTCAGGTCAAACTAATTCAATTCAACTCAGCTCAGTCAATGTGGTTCAGTTCAATTCAATTCAAAAAATATTTCTTTGGGCCCTAGAGAATAGTAGGTACTGTTCTATATGCTGAAACAACTGAGATTTCTTTAGGGTTTTGTGTGGCCAAGCAAAGCAGAATGAATAACGTGGATATCTTTGAGAAAGTTACTTCACCTCCCTGGGTCTCATTTCTCTCATCTGTTCAATGGTGTTCTCTTCCAATCACTCACATTTGGTGTCATTCCTCATAGGAAGGCTATGCTTTCATTGAAAGAGTACTTGCTTTAAAAATGTTGATTCATATTTTAGTCCTGCCTCTCTTCTTATTTAGCTGTTTGAATTTGGTAAGTCGCTTGGCTTTGTTGGGCCTCACCTGAGAGAGAGGTCAGGGTAGCTGATTTCGAAGGTTCCCTTTTTACCATGTGTTCCCATGAGACTGGATGTAACTTCATTTGTCCATGTTAATATTTTGCATAGAGTAAGCAATAAAATCATGAAGATTTTGTTGTTGTTGAACTTAATTGTTATTTTTTACCCCAAAGTGGTGTACTGGTATGGTTTGTTAACTGTGACCACACAGATATGTAACTGGTGCCTGTGGCAGGAAACATGCTAGAAGAGTGATTTTAAAAGTCAAAAGTTACCAAACATGAATATCTTTTTGAATAACTGAGAAGTTTCTGGCAAGATTTTAATCGGTAGAGGGCTTTATGTTTGTCAACTTACAGCACACAATATTTTATTAATATTAAATTAATATTTATTGAGGTCTGTTGTAGTATCTATTACAGTTTACTAAATATAATAATTGCTCTCTCTCTAGTGCCCTTTCCATATAAGGTTTTCTCACCTGATTGACATCAGGTTTGGCCATGTGACTTGCTTTAGACAATAAGATTGTGAGGAGGAATTGGATGTGCCACTTCCGGAAGATTTAAAAGAGGCAGTGAGCAATTACTGTGTTCCCTTTCTCTATATCAGGAGACCAGCAATGTTCCAGGGCCTGGGATCCCCATCAGCCTGGATCTTAGCATGAAAACACTATGGGGCTCTCCTGTCACTTGGAGTGTGATCATGGACTAATCTTTTTTTATTGTAATCTGCTAAGATTTTTTTTTCCCATTGGGTTATATTTCTGTCTACCCTGACTACACTGTGCTTGTTACTAAGAAATATAGTGGTGAGCAAGGCAAATCTATTCTTGGGTCTTTTATGGACATTACAGTTCAGATGTACAGTAATGTATGATGCATATTATAGTACAGGGAGTATGCTATGCGTGCATGTATTGGGGGAAACAAACTTGACCTTGGTGTCAGAGATGACTATCTTGATAATGTGCATCTAAGCTGACAGTTAACAAATTAATAGGGGTGAAACTGGCCAAGGGCCAGGAAGACGAAGAGAGTGTTGCAAACAAAAAGAAAACCATAGGCCAAGGCATACAGGCAAAAAGGCCATGGGAGAGTTGAGGAACTTTTGTTGAGTTTGGCTGCGAGACAGAGTAAAGGGGGAACTGAGAAGGACCCGTGGCTGCTGAGATAACATCAGTAATAATAATATTGAGCATTTATTAGCTTTGTGCTAAGTGCTTTACATACATTTTTCTCACGATTATTGTCACCATTTTATAGAAGAGGAAATTGAGCCAGAGAGAGGTTTAATAACTTGCCCGTAGCCACACAGCAGGAATGTGATTTTATCTGAGAGGCAATAGGAAATCACTGAATGGCATTACTCAGGGGAGGTTCATGATCAGATTCACATTTTAGAAAGATCATCTGGCTGCAGTAGGCTCCCAACTCAAACTCCTGCTGTGGTCGGAGGGAGTATGGGCCTCAGTTTCCGATGCCCTTATCAGTATGACTCCATTGATGAAGGCAGTTGACAGGAGGGAAGGTGACAGCACCACAGAAACAGCCACTTTAAAAAAAATGCTTTCTTAAAAATGAATGGTGATGGAAGGACAACTGACTCTGGGTGGTGAACACATAATGTGATATATAGATGATATATTACAGAATTGTATACTTGACACCTATGTAACTTTACTAGCCATTGTCACCCCAGTAAACTTTAAATAAATAAATAAAAATTAATAAACTGTATTTTTTTAACAAAAATATATGGAATGCTTCATGAATTTGCCAGTCATCCTTGCACAGGAGCCATGGTAATGTTCTCTCTGTCGTTCCACTTACTGTATGTGCTGCCGAAGTGAGCCCAGAAATGTTCATGTTTTGAAGGCGTAGGGGCAGCATAGGCAAGGAAAAATATATTGTGAATCTCAAGAGCATTAAGCTTTGGGTAGTAGTTTTAATAACAGTATAAATATAATAAATTGATCCCCAAATGAGCTCTTGTACCTAATTCAAATAATGGATATGGTATTGCATCAATATTTTGAGCATTTTAATTTGCTTTTGACTGTAAAATAGATAATATCATGGGTAAATTAAAGGCGAAGTGGATATCTTTAAGTGGATTTAGTTAGTCATCCGTGCATTCTTCCCTCCTTGTTTGCTGAGGCTGAATAATAGTGATCATAATTTGTGTTTTTCTTTGTTGTAAATGGAGAGATGTACAGACCAAGTTGTTTTCTGTGAGTTGTTTGGTATCCATCAGAAGCATCTAGAAACCTGGGCCTGACTGAAGAGGTCCCCAAGTCAAGATGGTAGGAACTGTGATTAGCATGAATGCTGTTCAGCCCTTACAGAGTCTCTTTTATTTCGACAGACTTCAAAGGAAAAATTGTAAGTAATTTTGACATTTATAGTTTGCTTCCTATGACTTCCTCTGTACACTATCCCCAGGGCCCCCACTCTTTCTCTTTCCCCTTCCTTTGTCCATGTCCCCCTTCCTCTTCTTTTCTTTCTTTCCTCCCCTTCCCTGCTTGATCCTTTTTTTCTCTTTTAAAACAGTTGATGTCTGCAGAAAATATACTAGAAATGAGCTGACTGCCAATATGCATAAGAAGATTTATTGCAACAGAGAAAGGATGTTATGAGACATCGCACATATTAATCTTTCCGTTTTTGTCTATAAAGACCAACATTTGGCTACTTTCATTGATGTGCTTTTAAGGAGACTCAGAACAGTTTATGGGGTGGGGGTGGGGGGTACAGATTCACAGCTCAGGTGTCCAGGAATACAGGCCTGCTCTGCAAGGTGGTTTCTCATGCACAGCCACAGGCACTGTGTCCTTTGAAGTACCATTTTGAGGGACTGGCTTTGGCAGAGGATTTTAATGCCACTCTTTCCAAACAAGTTGCCTGGCCAGGGAAGTTGTCAGAAAAGATCCGTGCAGGTTTAGGGATAGTTTTCTGAAGTTTTCCTGAAATAACCAATAATGAGTTGCCGGCTTTGATAGCTCTTTTTATAGGTCTTGCAGCAGCTGGATCAAAATCTAATGAAGATGTTTGTGTCTGACAATGGCGGGCCTGCACATTCCTATGCTATTTCTTGAGTGCACAAATGCATTTCATTTGGGAACATGAAAGGCATATTTAGTGACAACTGATGGTTCTTTGTTTTTTAATTCCCAATAATGTCTTCAGCAAGTGCTTTTGTTAACATTTTTGCATTATACAATAGGTGACACAGGAAGATAATCGGTGTGCTGAAAGCAATTAAAGAGTTTATATCCAACTTGTTCTGCCTATTAAATGGATCCACTCGGCATAGAAGCACATTAGCATCTTTACAGTGAAATGATTGTGGAAATAGGTTATTCACGGGGACTGTGCATCTTCCCCCTGCTGCAATAAGACATATCTTCAAGATTGGAGAAAAGGAATGAGCCATTTTTCTCCCCTTGGAACTGTAAACAGAAGTAGAACTATTAATAGACGCTGTAGCTAATCCCAAGAAGCTGCAACTGAGAGATTAAATAATGTCGTGAAGAGAGAAAGCTGAAATGAAGGGAGGGGGCGGAGGGAGGGGGAGAAGGGGGGTGAGTTCCCTGATCACTGAGCTGCCTCAGACAAGGACAAACTGAAGGACTCCCGCTGATCACAGGCTTGACAATTGTATAACAGGGGATTCCTGTTTTCAGCCAAGTAAATATCACTTCATCTATTTCCTGAGAATTGTCCTAATGGGAAGATTTATGTTTTACTTTTTAAGTACTAGTCAAGATGATTTGAAATGGGATGTGGATTCCAATGGAGATGCAGCTGAGCCTACCGGGGACAAATGGACTTTGTGAGCAAAAAACGTGTGTTTTATGATTAAAGAATAACAACAGAGAACTGGGAGGCCTGTGGGTAAGTTCACAATTTGAGCCTGGGACCCCGTTTTTATTGCCAGATAAAAAGTGTTGTAACAAGAGAGGCTGGGATGTAATTAAATCTTGTACCCAGCATGTTAGAAAGGATGAAATGTCCCCAAGTTTTATTTCTACGGACAATCTTAGACTTTTGTTTATCCTCGTCAGTGAACATGTTGACTGAGAGGCATTATGAGATAGTAGCTCTGCTGAGGAGCATCACATCTCTTCAAATCTTTACACAAACTATGAGGTTGGCATTATTGATACAATTTAGAACAACTTGCTCAATTTGTGGTCCATGGATGACAACATCGTCATCATCATCATCATCATCATCATCATCATCATCACTTGGAAACTTATTAGAAATGCAAATTCTCTGGTCTTACAACAGACCTAATATATCAGAATGTGCAAAGGTGGGCCCCACGAATGTGTTTTCACAAGCTCTACAGATAATTTGTATGCCCACTTAAGTTTGAGAAGCAATGTTTTATAGATGAGAAATCTGAAGCTCAGAGTGGGTGACATGGTAAGATAACACACCATCAAAGAAACAGAGTTGAGTTTTGACTTAGGATTTCATCTTATGTCCCAAGCTGGGATCTTTTACACGATCATTGAAATACCTGGTCATCCCCTCCTGGGACCAGAGCACACTTGGTCTCTGAAAATGGTCTTGCACGAGGGATTGTGCTTGGAATCTATGACTGATTTGAGCTGTTGTTTTTCTGCCAGAACATAAATTCTATTTCTTTGCCAGAGTGCCTAGCTTCTGATGGAGGCCAGACTGGGCCCTTTTCTGGTGTGTAAAGAGGCAAGGAAATCTGAAACAGTGTCTGGCAGGTGGGCCAAAGGATGAGAATGTGTGGCACTCATCTATTTCACCTACTGACACACCATGGAGGGGACTGAATGTTGGTCATCTCTAAAACTCAGCTGTGAATTCACCTAGATCGAGGAATTCATTGGGTGCATGAGAATATAGACCAGCACAAAGGGAGAGAGGCTTACTGATGACTTGTTCTATGGACTGTCTTTCTCTGTGTTTGAAGAATTAGCTCAGGCCTTTGGTATTCAGGCTGCACTGAGCATTCAGAAGGAGTTGGATGCTTATTAGGATATGACTGTTTTTACTGGCATCACTTTGCTTTCTCTTCATCCATTTTTTGTTAACCCTTTTTCTTGATAGCATTTGGAAGTCATGACCCAGAGCTGCAATATATTACTCACTTAATAGAGGCAGGATTTCAAAGCAAAATGAACACTGTTGTTTGGCAGCTGATATTGTGACTAAAGGGTTTCAAGGAAGGAGACTATTAGAGGAAAGAACATCTAGCATCTTATAGACTGAGGTTCCTACCCTGGGTCTGACACTTGCTACTTTGCATGTCCTTGGGCTTGTTACTTTAAACCTCTCTGAATCGTAGTTTCCTTCTGTGAAACAGGGTGTGTTTTGTATCTAACAGAGTGATTGCGCAGATTAAACAGGGGGTGAGCATACATTTCAGTTTGCCCAGGAACATCCAGGTGTACATGTTTTGATGTAATTACCGTGTTTCCCTGAGAATAAGACCAGGTCTTAAATTAATTTTTCCTTCAAAAATCTACATTTATTCAAACAGTCATGTCTGGCTGATGATCTTAACTGGGGCTTATGTTTGGGGTTGGGCTTATATTACGAGCATCCTGAAAAATGCTGGGGCTTATTTTCCACTTAGGTCTTAGTTTCAGGGAAACATGGTATGTGTAGCAATAGGTCCTTTCACTCTGCAAATTTCCTGATTTGGATGACAAATTATATAGTCACACTAATTAAATAATGTGTCCTGTCCCATTGGTAGTCAGTCAGTGAGAACCATTATTTGAAATATTGCATCTGGGAGCCAGTTGTAGCTCCTCACTAAATCTCCCTGGAAAATGAATGCTGAGACACTCAGGGCTGTGCCTATCTGTGCTAGAGGGTGCTTCCCTGTGCCACTCCTGTAGCGAAAGCCTGGGGCAGGACTCACTGGTCACTTGTACAGAATCGAGTGCTGCTGTCACCTAGGGATAATTGAGCCATTGGTATAGCGTTTTGGAGCTTTTAGATAAAAACTCATGATCCAGCAAGGAAGTATATTACATTTATGGGTACTCATTCAATGTCAGGTGCTCTAAATCTGTGAACTCAAAGCGGGCATTCCCAGTCCCATCTTACAAATGAGGAGCCCAGACTCCAAGAAGAAATATTTTTTAGGTCATACGTTTGAAAAGAGGAGAAGCTAGGAGTTAAACTCTTGTTTTTCTGTCTCCTAGGCTCCTTCTACAACAATGCTCAAATGTCATGAATGAGGAAGAATTCTAACGCCACATGAAATGATGTGTAGTACCGATCAGTTTCATATCGTTCTTGGCTTTCTATCTTTGACAGGTGGAGAAGAAACACTGTCTCGAGAAAGGAGGCTATTTCTAAAACCAAGCTGCCACTTCTTTGATCTTAATGTTTCCCCCATATGCCATCATTGATACAGCTTTTCACAGACCACTGAGCATCCTGGATAATAATTGCTGCTAACTGGCTGCGTCTGCCAAACATCCCCAAATTAAGATTATTTAGGAAGCACAAGTTTTGATTTGGGCTGGATGTGGGAGACACTGATGGATGCAATGGGAGGAAGAGGAGAAAACAGGAAGAAAGGCTGGGATGACTGTCAGATCAGACATCTCTGCATAAAAAGGTGGAGACTTTTTGGAGAAAGCCATTTCTTCCCACTTCCCTAACCGTTTTAGGTTGCTTCTGACCTGCATTAGGTAGATAAAGATAAATGTGAATTTGAAATTATATTTAATCTTCATTAAAGTAATTATCTCTCTTAATGAAAAATTTGCTGGGTTGTGGTTGTGCAATGGAGTATAAAATCCTAAGTGAATAAAATCAATTTCATTTTCAGGCTAGCTTTTCTGTCCATTAATAAACAAGGCACAGAAAATATATTTGCTCAGAGCTCATAACTCACACAAAGCCAGTTCCACTTAGAAAAGCGGGAAAGTTGGCTCTTCGCTTCTGACCCTTGATTTTTCAACCTAAAGGAGTGCTTTCACCCTAAGGACATTCCATGAGTTTTCACATTGGGGCTACTTCCTGGGGCTACTCACAGCAGTGAGCCTACTGTGGGTGAAATCTCACACCCAAACAACTGCTCTAATGGAATAGTGTTTGTGTGGTGTGGTGTATTTCATCTGAGTGCTCTGGTTTATTAATCACATAAGTATGAATTAGATTCTGGCATGCTTATGTTTCCTAATGTATGAAAATTGCTTATTTATTTCCATGCTGTTACAATGGAAAGAAACAGACTGGTGCTAAATAGCAGTGTACCGTAGTGTGAAGCAATTAAGTGAGTTATGCATGCCCTTCAGAAGGAGGATAATGGGAAATGGAGCCAGCTAGTCCTCGTTGCTGCTGGTAAAATGGAAAAGGATATGTTATGGAGGAAGAGAGACCTGCCCATATTTCAATTCACGTATATGAGCCTATTATTGTAGTCAAATCTTAAAATTTAGCTTCTATGAACTCACTTATTGGCTTAGTTGAAACGTTTGAAAGAAAAATACAAAAGATCTGAAAAGAGCATCACCCACTGGAAGGCAAGAGTGAATAATTTTGATGATAACTTTTACCTTTACTTCTCTTGCTTTTATGTACCATTTTCCCCCTAAAACTTAACAATAACATGCAAATCCATATTGTCCTCCTACCCCACCCCTGCTGGCTGAGGCAGCTATAGTGCAGTGTAAAGGGCAGCTCTACACCTCCTTCCATTGAGTACGAATCTCCATATACTGTGTTAGTTACTTACTTGTTACTGATTATTAATTAAATTACATGGTGCTTACTATATGCCAGGTTCTGTTTGAAATGCTTCTTTATATAATCTTTGTAACAACTCAATGAAATAGTTACCCTCACTGTTCTCGCTTTACATATGAGGAAACTAGGGCATAGAGAGATTAAACAACTTGCCTAAAATTGCACAGCTGATAAGTGGCAGAGCTGGGATTTGAACCTGGGCAGACTGGCTCTAGAGTCCATGCTCTTAAGTGCTATGCCTCCTTGATTCTGTCATTTTTATGTAACCAGAGTTACATTGCTGAACCCCTCAGAACTTAGGTCCCCTCTTCTGTAAAACTGGAATGTAACATTTACTGAGGTCCTACTTACGGTACCATGGTAGGCTCTTTATAGATGTCATCTCATTTACCCCTTACCATTACCTGTAAGGTCGGCAAATTCTCTCCATTTTATATATGAGAAAACTGGCTCAAAGATATTTTGTAGGGCTGGCCGAGTGGCTCAGTTGGTTAAGAGCTCGCTCAAGAGTTTGAGCTCTGAGCAACAGCGGTTCGAGTCCCAGCCCGAGCTGAGCAGCCACCGAGCAGCCGCTGAGCTGCCAACAGGTGGCAGGATGGCTCAGCTAAAAAAAAACAAAACAAAAACAAAAACAAACAAACAAACAAAAAGATATTTTGTAGCTCCAAGGTCACAAGGAGTGTACAGGATGGAGCAGTTTCAGACTGAAGTTTACCTATTCTAAAGCTTATATTTCTTCTCTATTATGCTGTAGGACTCTGAGGGGGCCATATGACACAACGGATGTGAAAGTATCCAATGCTTCCTGGCGCATTAAACACTCAATAAAAGTCAACTCAGCAAGTATCTGGCAAATTGTATAGAAATGTTTGTTTTTACTGTCAGTACCTTGGTCTGATGGTAGCAGAGGAAAATGTTCTCAATGGGAGGGTGCGCCCTCTGGGAGGCTGATCTATTAACAGCCAATAGTAATGTTTGCTGCATTTACCACAGACTTTAGTTCAGAAAGTTCTGAAATAGAAAAGCTGGTCTCAATTGCTTAATCACAAAATGATAGACCACGTCTCTCCTGAATTCTGTCCTAAAGACATGGCTTCTGTGATTATCAAGGAGCTGGATAGGCAAATTGGTTTTTGAAATCTTTGTTTTTGATTGAGAAAATAACATAGGACTACACAAATGACACTGCAACAAACACCACTTACTCACTATCTAAGGTGAGTACATTATAGGTAATATAGGTTTCAGATCATTAAAAAACAAACAAACAAACAGGAACTACAGATAGATTAAATTCCCTTTTCCATCATATTACCTTTCCTTGTTTCCTTCTATCCAACTGCCATCATGAATTTTGTGAATATCTAAGCCATATTTTTACTTTTTGATTAATATGGCTCTAACCAGAATCAGTGGATGACATTATTTTAAGTATTTCCAGAAATACTAATTACTTCAACTTGCTATTTTCATAATCAGTCTCTTTTAGTGAGATTTAACATGCCAATACACATATCTAGTTTATTCACTAATTGCTGTATATTATTTCATTCTCTGACTATGTCATTTTTATTTTATAAAAATCAATTCCAAAAAATGGAAAATTAAGAATACAGTATGAATTATAGCACAAAGAATGAAAACTAAATAGTCATTTCAGTAGCCCTTCTCAATATTACGAGTTTCTATTCTATTTCTGGTGCAATGTACTACATATCTTATTTTGGGGGCCTAAGTATGTCTTTAATTTTAAGTATTTTATTTTTCATTTTTATTTTGGAGCCACATAAGGAGCTTAAAACATAAACTCAGAGAATCGTATTTATCTGGAGTCTCCTCTCCTTTTCTTTTCCAAGACATTGATAAAAAATGGTCTCATTCTTATTACACCGACAACACACACAGACACACACACATACACACCCTGAAAATAAAGTCACCAAAGAAATGGGTGGAATCCTCTTTGTTCCTAAAGATTATTATTTGTGATGTGGATATGGTTAGTCTGCTCTTCAACTCCATATAAATTTGCCTTTCGCTATAAGAATTTGAGAAGCAGAAAATAAGTTATAGGTCTGGGATGACCTACACTGTAGAGTAGGGAAGGATGATTGGTAGTTTTTTTTTAATAATTATATTTTAAATTTAAAATTGAATTGAAGTGGAAAAATAAATTACAGGGACATGCCATTCTCTCTGTGCAAGATAAACCTGTTCAATAGAGTGAGAAACAAATCAAGTCTTCGTGGGGCTTTCTGGTCCTCTCTCTGGAATTAGCACTTTATAACTTATGATTTCCATTGCCAATTTCTGCTTTCCTCTACAAATAGGGACTCACAATTATGGAAAAATTTCCTTTTTAACTTAGAAGAAATAGTTTACTGTCACGTCCATCATATGTAGTACTGTAATGCATCCTTTTTTATTTCCTTAGACAAGCTGGAGATGGAAGGAAAGAAACACCTCATTTTTGTTATTCTCTTTTTCAGCCAACTCTCACATCCTCATTAAAGCTCCACAAACATGACAACACCTGCATCGGGCCACCTGCTTGTGTTTGTGTGATAGAAATAAATTCCTCTCAGAGGTGACATTGGAGTTTACTATGAAGCATCTGAAGTTGTGAGGGATTCTTGATCTGGTTTCTTTAGGAAAGGCATTTGCTTGCCTTGTTAGAATTTAGGCCTTGATATTTGAATTTCTAATAATTTAAGAAAAAAACCTTAGATGAAAAGTGAAAATAAAATCTTCATTGAAACACTGAATTATTTAGCACTGATTAGTAAGTGACTTTCTAAGGTGATCTGGCTATTTAACCATTCTCTTTTTGGGAATTTCCAAGAGGCTGGATTCTGGAGCCAGACAACTTGAGCTCAAATGGCTCTGCCATTTATTAGCTGTGTGACCTTGAGCAATTTACATAACCCTTCTGTGCCTTGCTTTCCTCACATGTAAAATGAGGTTTGAGATTGTAGCACTTTATATGGGTGTGGCATGTGTTTAATGAATTAAACATATATGCAAACCACTTTAACAATGCCTAGAGTATTATTAACACTTAGTAAATCAAGTGTTTTTTATTCTTGTTGTTCAATCATCTACAATGTGTTGAGCTTTATTCTAGGCACTAGGGAAACACTGGTGAGCATAATACACACATTTTCTGCTGTCAAACAGCTTCCATTCTAGTGGGGGGAAACCTAGTAAGTAAGTGAAACAAGTAATTCAGATAAAATAAGGTTCATAATTCGTAATGCTGAAATTGAAATTGCTAGTTGAACGTTTATGTTGTGGTTGAACAAAATACATAAGCCCTTTTCCTTAGATTGTATCACAAGTTCTCATAATTAATTATACATAGCTATGCCTGGGACCATATAGAAAGTACTGATTATGGCTGTCGAACGTGAACATAATCTTGCGCATGCCACATTCTTATGTTGGAGAATTGTATCTCCCTCTTTTGTCAACCCTTCTCTATGGCCATTTAACAATTTACATGTAAGGGAGGTCACTTGCTTCCAAATGGACCATTGCAATGGGCTGCAGTCTAGATGAGGGCTGAATCAATTTCATTGGATCCTATGTTTTATTTTGTATTATGCTTGATTCCATTGGTACATATCATAACTGATTAGCCATGTATAGAAGTCATAGAAATGGAATTACTTCAAGAATATATTAGGCATATAAAAATCTGTAACTAAAACTTGATAAGGCAGCTTATTTTGCCTATTGTATAAATAGTAGACTCCTACGACCCCAAATGATAATACTTCTGAGTCTACAGTTTCTTGCTAGAAAAGGACACACAATAGCAACAGCATATTGTATCAGAATAGCAGTAAGGGTAGTCGCTGCAGTCAGAGCAAAGGGTTTGGAGAGGCCAGCAGTAGGCTCCTGTTGTCCTCGTGCAGGGCCATATGGGATATACCTTCCCTTTCAGAACCAGAAAGCCCAAGATGGAGTCCAAAGTGGGGCTCTCACATCCCTGCTGGGTACATAGGTATGTTATTGCTATATGACCAGACCCAATGTCCAAGTTCTCTTTAGTCTCGCTGAAACTGGGTGTAAACCATCTATCTTGCTCCAATTAATAAACAATCCTGATAGGCTGGTACACTGCTCAAGCTTGCTTTAAAACAACACTATTAGAAAGTACATGCCATGCCTTGACCAGATGTCAGTACCATGTATGGACTTCAGAAAAAGAGCTCAAGCCAATTCCAGGCCTGCTGGAATTCTCCCTCTTAACACACATATTTTAATGATGAGTTAAATCTAATCCCTTCAGGATTTCCACAGTTGCCTCTATATTTAGTATAGAAACAATTACTACAAATTTCTGAATAAAAGTATTGTACAGAATATAAATGTAGATCTGCTCTGAGAAATATGGAATATAGAAGCACAGAGTGGTGAATTTTAACTGATCTCTATGAAAATTCTTAAACAGGGTATATTAAGAAATTTGGGAAGACTTGGAGAAAACCTCCAGACATCATTGAGGGATCATGAGAACAAATCACACCATAGAAATTAATTTTATTTTCTGATGTCTAAATAATACAAAATCATCTTCTTCTCCTTCTTTTCCTTCTCCTCCTCCTCTTCTTCCTCTTCCTCTTCCTCTTCTTCTTGTTCTTCTCCTTCTCCTTCTCCTTCTCCTTCTCCTTCTCCTTCTTCTTCTTCCACCTCTTCTTCATTTTCAAAACATTTGACAGAGACTTTTGTGGTATTTTTTGCACAGATGATTAAAACTTATATCTGGCGGAAAAATTGTGCCCAGGTAGTTCTTGTCAATGAATTGGAGCTAGCTGGGGGAGAGCTATAGAGGCATGCCATATAAGATACGACAAGACACAAATACAGAAGAGGTAGTTAATGTGCTCCAAAGATGCAGGGATGGAGGTAAGCTACAAACTTATAGTTTATAAATCTATAAGCTGTAAGCTATAAACTGGGGCCAAAATGATTAAAACTAAACTTAATTGGCATCTCTCATTTAACAACAGCTACTATTTATCAAATTCTTCATAGATGCCAGACATCCTATTAGGCCTTTATAAGTATTAACTTACTGTGTCCTCTCAACCTAATGAGACAGGTGTTCTTATTGCCTCTGGCATGTGGAGGTGCTCGCCGAGGCTCAGGGAGCTTGAATAGCTTGCTTGAGGTTACACAGCTTGTGACTGGTGAAGACAGGTTCCAAACTCAGCCAATTTGATTCTAAATCTCATGTGTCTCAGTTGGATTCAAGGGAAGGGTTAGGGAAACTTTACTGATAATTTTAGCAAAATATTTTAAATGTACAACATGCTCAATATAAGTCTTTTGAAATAGCTTCTGCAGCTACTGAAAAACAGGCTGTATTACTTTCTCCATTAATTTATATTGTTTTAAGAGTAGATAATAAAGTATGGTTTTGATTATCTTATTCCTTTGCTGAAAAGCTTTTGATAGCTCTCCATTGCTTAACTAAATTCTTTTGCTCAACTTTCATTCTAGCCTCATCTCCCGTTACCCTTCCCACATGACATGCTGCTCACTTGAGGCTATTTCTGCATGCACAAACTTGTCCTGGATTTTTCTGTTTCCTTGCAAATTAAACTATTGAAAACGTGTCCTTCTTTGTAGTCCCAGGTCAAATGTGCTCCCCTCCAGGGGTAGTTGAGGGCCTGAGAGAACTATATAACAAGAGTAGAAATTATTGTCGTGATTATTATGTGTTTATTATTTATATGCCAAAGGATATCACACACAGGTTTTTTAGTTCAGTCACCCCGCTGTGTCTCAGTCCTATTTTCTCTTGAAAGAAATTGGACTCACATACGCT